AACAACAACAGAAATTATGTTCCAGAATTCTGATTCGTTGGCAATGGTATTGAGAGAATAGCGGAACTTAAATATTCAAAATTTGAAACAAGTAGAATAATATATATAAATATACGTTCCGTTGAAACATTATCGTATGATCCATTTAGAGATGCCCGGCATGGCCATCTGTGGGTCGCGGGTTCGAATCCACGTCACACCAAACATGCTCGTCCTTTCAGCCGTGGGGGGCGTTATAACGTGACGGTCAATCTCACTATTCGTTGGTAAAAAAGTAGCCCAAGAGTTGGTGATGACAAGCTGCCTTCTCTCTAGTCTTACACTGTTAAATTAGGAACGGCTAGCACAGATAGCCCTTGTGTAGCTTTGCGCGAAATCCGTGACAAACAAACAGCTTTATTATTTTCTTGTTAATATGCCATAACAAAAGAAATTTATGTTTCTTACCAATTATGTAACTGGGAACGAACTAATGCTTAAGTGAGCCAAATAAACTGCAACAGAATAAACGTTAAAGCATTTTAAACAAAATACAATCATATCTTTAATGACGAGATGTTATTGATCCTCAGATAATTCTATGTACTTCATACAATTTTAGCTTTTACAGGCATATTCTGTGCGCGTGATTGTCGTGTTCAGTTTCTAGTGGTATTTTCCGACAGAAGTCGCTCAGTATGATCTGATACAAGGAATACGGGCTCTTTTAAATAAATAATGGTATATGAGAAATGTCATAGGCTTTATCATAGTGACCATACTAAGTGCATAATCAGCATTTTTTCTTGCATTAACAAAATCTACTAGTATGAGATGGAACCAAACAGCGTCATTTTATATGTAGTTAACTATACCATTTTAGGAAGCGTATATATTTGCGCTTAGCAATAAATTCGAAGCTTCCATCACAAACGCCTCTTGATGGTGTGGCGATTTCAAAATAAAGTAAACGATCGGATTTCAGAGTCTCTTATTATTCTTGTCTGAATTGTGATAATTTTAGGGGATATAGCAGCACAATTGGTCTCAATTAAGAACCTTATTTTATAATATAATTGGGAGTATGTTGACTCTGGTAAAGAGAGCTCTGAACTTTAAAGCTTGCGAGCCAGATTAAATCCTTGCGTTACCTGCCCCCCCCCCCCCGCCAGTAGCACAGCGGAATGTCTGCGGACTTACAACGCTAAAAACCATGTTTCAATACCCGTGGTGGGCAGAGCACAGATAGCCCAGTGTGTAGCTTTGTGCTAGTTACAAACAAACAAACCTTGCGTTACCGCATAATAATCCTTCACACTCTAACTTATGGGTGCGTTATAAAAGTGACAGCTAATCCCTAAATAGATGTGAAAACTGCAACCTGATTAGACTTTTCATTTGAAGCTTTAAAAGAAAAGGCTCGTTTCTAATATACTGTGACGTCATAATTGTATACGACAGGTCAATCAATATCAAATGTAGGTCTGATACATTTTGTTCTACCATGACTTTATTTCGGCTGTGGTTGCCATGAGACTTTCTGATTTGCCCATTGAAAGTTATTTTAGCATAAAGCAGTCATCTCTTTGTCTAAGCGTCAAATACACCAATCTTATAATGTCCTGCCACTTTGTAACTTTTCGTACTTGACATCCGTAGCTCAACTGTACATAGTTTATAGTTTGTCAAAATTGTTGAAATTATATACTTGAATCCTTTAATTTTGTAATATTCGTAAGATTAAACTGATTTCTGTAAGAAGAAATCCCCCTCACCCAAAAAACAATGATAACTGATATTATCACGGACAATACTGGTTAATGTTTACATATATGCATATTTCAACACCCTCGTGTCACTCAAATGATCATAACCAAATATCTTACGTATAAGTCAGAAAACAACTTAAATACTGTACAAATCGTACCAATAATATATTTCATGTATATCTTTCTCACACAAAATAATAATGCATCCAAACTATGTTAAAAATCTTTCATAGCAAGAAAACAAGAAGAGGCTTAGCTACTGTTAGTCAGTGTTACAATTCCATACTTTGTGGACTTCAGCTGAAATATAACATTTTATGTTCAGATATGAACTATGTGTATGTGCATGTGCAGAATTGTGCATTGTCTGTCACTGTGTGTGTGTTTATATTTTGAAGAAATGTAGGTTGAGATGGTTGGCCAATTCACATTTGCATAAAATTTGTATGTTTTATAATCGCCAACATATCATTCGGCGACACCAAATTTTCTTTATCGTAATTTTCAGTATATAAAAATACCAGCTGGTAATTTTAAGTGATAGCTTAACAGCAGTTTTATATAAATCGAATGTGAAAGAATTTCATACACTTACTCACCGTTTAAAATATTTCCTTTCGTTGCTGAGTTGCGGAACGAAAACGCAGAATACTCGCCCGGTCATGAAATTAATTGCTAACCTAATTATCTTATTCTGATAAATTATTATCCCTCTAATTGAGCGCTATCACTGTTCATATAGATTAAATTCAATAAAAGTAGACAGATTGCTTTAGAGAATTTGTTTCTTCACTTTCTTTTAATCTTCAGGTACATTTCCGCGGTGTTAAATTCACGAGAGACAGACAAATGTGCGGTATAAGTATATCAAAAGACGAGCTCACAATAAAAATGTTTCATGATCGACAGTAGGATCGCTAGCTGTAAGTATGTAAACCAAATATCTAAAAAATAAAATCTGAATTAATGATAGAACTGAATCATTGGACTAAACAACATTTAGTAAGTGTTGATGAATCTTCAGATTAAAAAAAAAGAAACAAACAGCAGTAATGTTTAGACTATGTACATTTACGTCATTTAAAGTTTAACAATCAACATTGCAGGTGATTGGTTTCAAAGCATTTCAAAAATCCCTCCTTCAAACTATTTCACCTGTAACCTATAACGAATACTTACGTTGAACAGAGTTATCCTGAAAACAGAAATATAGTCAGATCTTACTCCTAATTCATTCCGATTTACTTTCTATTTTATATTTACCTTTAATACCCATTTTCAGATATTATGCATTACTCATAGGCTCACCAATACGAATACATAATAAAGTGGTGACTCATAGGAAGAAACTGTACGCGGTTTGAAATACGATAAAACAATGCTAGGTGGCGGATACTGGTTTGAAGATGGTTTTTATCCGTGATGAACTTGGCCATTATTAAATTTTGTTTTAGCACCTGCACGACATGCACCATTTATTTTGTGGTAACCAACTTCCGCCATCAGGATCAGATATGATTTGTAAATCGACAGTTACAACTTTCATAATAACTACGTAAACTATTATGCTATTAATCTAAAAGTTGCAATCATTTAAGAAAAAATTATGTGGTACATGTTTCATAATACTTTTTCGCGTGCAATTAATGCTTGAACATATCTTAAAACGTGTTATAACAACTTCTTAATCATGACCATGTCTGCCTTGTGTGTTTTCTCTATTAATAATTTCCAGTTGTATCTATTGATCCGATCTGTTGGAGAGCTATATGAAAGTCACTAAAAAAAAACTGTAGTTCAATCATGTATAATGCACTCTCTAACACAGTATTGAACGTAATTTAAAGACAAGTCAATATTAAACAATATACTCATAAATTGTTAAGATAAAAATAAGTAACTTTATTTTATATGAAACAGGTGCGTAGAGAATTTGAGTTTGCTTTGTTCTTAGCGTGTTTTTTTTTCTATAGTTCGTAGATGATTTCAACACATTAACCTTCTTAAATCTCCAAACCATACAAATTCAAACTGAGATTGTACTTAGAGTGTTTTTGAAAGTATGGTCTAACAGAACAATAAAAAGTTCTTGTTATGGCTATTTCATAATTTATACCAACCAATAGTTTCTATATATTCACCAAACATTCAAAGCTGACATATAAGTTATTATAAGAGGCTTTTGTTTCTATAAGAACCTGTAACTTATTTACTTGAGCCCCTAATGATGTTATAAGTAACCTTTAAATGTACGGGCTTCATAGAAGTCTCTTCCAGAACTACTTTGGAATCTTACCTTGCTAAAGGCCATTTAAGGACAGGAAATAACTTATTACAAGAGTGTAAACTTTGTGAAATTTTTGCAAACTTAATAGAAAAACGTAGAACTCCAAATATTCTCTGTATCTTAGAAAAATGTAATAAAATATAAACATAAATAATTTTCTTTCAGTTCAAGAATGCTAGGAGTTAAATGCTGTGAACAATAATTGAGTTTAATAATGCTTGGAGACGGCTTGAATTGGTAATGAAGAAAAACTTTAATATAAGTTTAACATAACAGCAAATGTACAACGTTTCGACAAGGTTTTGTCATCATCAACCTTGTCAAAACGTTG